ATACTTGCATGACTAAATCAACACATAGTGACAGAATTATAGTTCTTGTGTCAATAAAAGTATTTTTAAAAGAATATATAAAAAATACAACTCGCCTCAATTAGAAAAACAAACAATTAAAAAATAAAAAATAAAAAAATATTTCAATATTTTTTAATGGAAAAGAAAAAAAAAAAAGGAAATCTCTACTGTTAACTATTATCAATATATCAAAACATGTAAAAAAAATTTAATTGCAATTTAATCTATTTTTTGAATAAGATTATATAAAGATCAATCTTTTTGTAGAGGAAATAATAATAAAAGAGAGAGGAAATTCTCTAAGAAATTTTATTTGTAAATTGATCATTTTTTTACCATAAAAAAAGGGAGGGGTGGGGGATAGAGAGGGAGGAAATTAAAATATGAAAAATAGAATAAAATAATAATAATAATTGAAGGAAGAGAAATATATTGATTTTTGGTATCATGACTACATGATTCGAAGGGAAGAATAAGGAAAAATAAATATTGAACAAAAAAGTTTATATTGAAAGACATTTTTCTTCTTAAGGCTTTCAAAATTCTTAGGGTGAATGTGAAACTTTTTAGGAGATTCTACATTTGTACATTCTGGTTAAAAATTAATACACAAATTATTTTATAAAAGTTATTGACGTGTTGAATAATTCTCGACTTTTTAAAACTTTTAAACAAGGAAATTTAAAAAGTCTAATATTAAATATCCCAAAATCTTTAAAGATTCTTAAAAAGTTTTAATTAAATACATCTTAACTTTTTAAAAATATAAAATGAAAATAAAATATAAATTAAATACACCCCTAAATCCGTTCAATATTACCTCCAAAACATGGTTTCAAGGCTTTAATGTAGACAACAATAATGGAGGCAAATAGTCCCTCCCACGCAACCCCCAAACACCCAATTTAATAATCAAAATTTTAACTTATTGGGCACCAAAAATTATCCATAATACTTGATGTTTACTTTGTCTTTTTATTAACTTTTCAATATGTTAATCCTTATAATTCTTGATTAGCCTCCACTAAAATTTGAATAACAGTGCATTTTTCTTAAATCATTGACCATTTGCGAAACAATAGTTTTTTTGTTCTTTTCATCACAAATTAAAAATTAAATAAATTTATATACAATAGTAGAACAAATAAAGATTTTAACTTGAAGTTTCTCGTCCTATATATATAATAAAATTTAAAGTGCTAGATATTTAATTTAGAAAATGATCTAACTTTTACGTGAAAGCAGGAAGTGCATTGAAGATGTGAACATGTTCGTCTTTTTCATTTTTCTATGATCGCTAGTATCTTCCTTTTTATGATTCAAAGTATGAAAACTTTGCCGTATTTGTCTTCAACTTATTGCCATGATAGCAAAAATAAATTATAGTTAACAATCAATTCTCAAAAATAAAATTGTCTTCTTCATTAGATCATCGTATGAGAATCTTAAAAACGTGTCACGCTTAAATTTTTAGACAATGGTCTAAATTGAGAAGCAAAATCTAACTTCATACGTTGGAAATGTAAATTTCAAGCAACTATTAATTGGAAATTTGAATAGTTTTCATTTCTAAAAATTATTAGACATGTAAAATAGTTTTTCTTCTGAACGAGAATCAACTTAAATCATTTTCAAATATGGACCAACTTACTAATGAGTCAATTGATATCGTTGTTTTATAAGAGCATCTTCAAAAGACTTATTTATAAAGAGCATTTTATACATAACAGAGAGTATCTTTAAATTTAGAAAATAATTTTTTTATACATCCAACGAATTTTCTATTTTAATTTTTTATTTTATTTTTTTCAATAAACATTTAATAATTTCTCCTCATATTTTATTTTAGTATAATTTTTTTATATGTTAATGGTCAATCTATCCAAATGTAAATTTAATAATTTAAGCTGTAAAGTATTGAAAATTGTAATGTATTAAATGCAGTAATTATATATTAAAAAAAAAGATTGAGGGGCTGTTTTGGCCCGATTTTTTGACCTAAAAATTGATTTTTTGACCGTTATTTTACTATTTCAGCCGTCATATTTGACTTTTTCTCTCACAGGTGGACCCCACTTTTCTCCTAACGGTCAAAAAATCAATTCTCAAAATCACTCCCAAACAGGCTCTGAGTTTGGTTCTCTAAATTTGGAGAACCAAACTCACTTTCTAGTATCTTAGAATTCATTTTTAAGCATTGACTCTTTAAAATAGAGAATATTTTATGTTAGCAAGTTTATTGGAGATGCTCTAAAACCGTATAGAATCTGAACAATTATGAAATATAGGAAGATATGACTCTTTCCAATTATCATAAGAAAATGATAGTATATATTCATCTCTATTTAAATAGTAGGCATGATGCGCGCATACGGGTAAAATCCGACAACAATACAAAATTTGCTATTATGTGCTTCAACACGCCGAAGTTGAGAGACCATCGCCAGAAGACGCCGACTTTCAGAGACCGATTTTGGGAGTTCCCCAATTTGGGGAAATGAGTGTGGGTAGACGGGTTAGTCAAGTGTTCCCTCCTTTTCTATTTGGTCTTTTTTTCTTCTTTTTTGTTTTTCCTTTCTTTCGGTAGCCACCACGTCACCAAAATTTGAATTCCCCATAAAGACCCTATGAACCGGGTTGTACACATAGCATTATTGAAAAACTAGAATTGACCAAAGAAATATTTAAACTTGCAATGATTAGGCTGTAAATAGGCATGGTAGGTTAGGTCAATTTCTTGTTCCGGTAAGTTCTGAAAGAAATGCAGTTTCAATTAGTCAGTAAAAATTGATAGTCAGTTTCAATTAATGAGTAAAAGTTGATAGTTTAGCAGCTAAGTTAGGATTTTTGGACCTCAAAAAAGCCTAATGTAGCAAATGTTGACTGGTTTGTTGCTTACCTTTTCAACCTTTAAATCATTGTGGTACTTTACGGGGAATTGGGTTGTACCAAGATTAGAACAAATAAGTGAAAATGGAGTTATAAATTGATTATTATCTTAAAAAAAATATAACTGCAAGAATTTTTGTAAGAATTCAAATGTTTTGGTCGGGCCTAACACTTCGAGTTATAAAGAAACAAAGCCAGAAAATATGTTATTTAATTTTGGTCAAAATCAAATCACGTCCTCCTATTTTTCGTTTGATATTTTAAAATGAATCCAAAATCTACTAATATTGGATCCAAACTTAAGACGAATTGGTCATCAATAAACTTGGTCACTCTGCCTCTAACTAGTGAAGAATAACACGAGATTAGCTCTCTCAAAATTCAACTCGACTTCACTATCCATGACAAATACGATAGTGGATTGAAACTTCCTTCTTGTCTCCTATATTTCTGAATATATTTCTAGTGTCAACTAATGAAATTTAGTTATCAAGATCAGAAAGAACCTCTGTTTTAAGTTAGAGCTGTCTTCAGGGGCGGATCCAGACAACTTGGGTTAGGGGGTCAAAAATAAAATTTATAGGGTATCTTCTAATTAAAAAAAAAACTAAAAAATAAAAAGTTAAACAAAATTTTTCTTTTTTCCAAAATCTAGAGGGTCAATTGACCCTATAATCCCCCCCCCCCCCCCGGGTCCGCCCATGGCCGTCTCGTAATTCATGCAATTCCCTGTCCATCAATTAATCATCAAGTATGCATCTAATCAGGATGTAGTGAATAGAAAATGCATCTATCTCGAACTATGTTCATTAATCGAACAAAAAGAAAATAAAATTATTCAAACAAATTTCACTTGGGCGTGTTTTGGGCTTCAATTTCCATCATTAAAATGGCATTTTCCACACTAAAAGCTCGACTAATTCACAAAGAAGAAAGCGACTACTATTTAACCAACAAAATAATCATGGATGATATCGCATTCTAAAAATTTGGTGTATTCAACTATGAATTTATGGCTTCCTACACTAAAATATGCAAATAAAATAATTGTGCATGATTACAGAAATAGGGAGACATTTGACAACACTTGATGTTGATGTCCTTATCATATTTAAGAGCGTAGCTTATTTCTTCAAATTCATGATAACAAATTTTTAACATATGCACGTAGTTTTCGCTCGTCCTTTTGCTCGAGCGATGTAGTTTTCATAAAATAAATTTTGTCAAAAAGTAATTTCTAAAGATACATTTTTTACTTATAAAATTTACTTTCTGGAAAGGTAATTTTAAATTCGGACAGATATGTGAACTTGTAGAAGAATACTCGAAAATTAATATATACTTTTATAATTGCGAAGAATTGAGTTGCATTAAAATCATTGAAAAGTGGGTAACGAATTAATTTATGGAGTCAAGTGTAAATTTATTTAGGTTAAAACTTAATTTATCGTTGTTATTGTTTGCCATTTTCACTCTAATTGTTTTGAATTTTACTTAAATTTTACTCGTTTTAAATTATAGTAAGCAAAGGTCGAATATTTATGAGTAAGTAGTGATATTGAGTCAATTTCTACTTTTCAAAAATCAGCATGATAACAGCTATTTACACAATAAATTATGCCATTTCTTTAATCCACTCATTAAGCTCTGTAATCAGATTCTTTGTCATATCTAATCCTCCAACTTGGACTACACTAGATAATGAAAACTACCAAGGGTTAACTAGATTTTAGCTTGCAAAGGAAGAATTTACTTTTAATAAGGAGCGATTCGATGTTGAAGCTTATAAAATTATATTGTCATATCTTTGATAGTAGAGCTTTAATGTTTAGGTTTTAATTTAATATCATTGAAAAATTAAGGGTCTATTTGATCTAATTTTCGAAAATAGATTTTATGAAAAAAAAAATTAGTGAAGAATGTATAATTAAAAAGTAAAAAGAATTATATGTTTACGTTTAAAATTAAACTGAGAGAATTGATGAGTGAAAATGACTTTGAGAAAAATCCAATCTTTTTTATTATTATTTTTTTTTTTTACTGCTATAAAATCTTTTTCCTTCCCATCAACAACAAAAATGAAAAATCAGATTCCTTTTCAATTCTCTCTCTTGATTTCGGCTGTTTCTGTAGCTGCCCTGTTTGACACCTATATAAGGATCGCCTCTGCGTTTAAAGAACTTCTCTATCAATTCTATACATACTTCTGCGTGTGATTTTCTCTTTATTCGGTGCTTATATAGATAGAGAAATATATTAAACAGTGAGAGAGATTGTACTGGGGAAAAAATGTATGCTGAAACTGGACTGATGTCCCCTTATTTTCAGAGTTTCCCTCAAGAAGTTCACCAGCTTGATGAGTTCTACTACTCACAGAAACCCAATGCTCCATTGGTAATTACATTTTTGCCATTTCTTCTTATTTTCTTGATTGGCATTTCTTTGATCAATTCGAATGCAAGTTTTTGACATTCTGTTGTGGAATGATGTTCATTTGGGCTTGCGATTCGGTCTTTTTCTTTTTCTTTTTTTTTGAACTAGGTTTTTGAATTCTAATTTTTTGGGACTTTTTTATGGAATTTATGGGGTTTGGAGTTCATATCTCCGAATATCTTTGATTATATTTTTGTGGATTTTGTTTCGTTTCTCTAAATTTGGGGAAAAATTAATTAAAACTTTCAAGAATCTTACTCTATGATGAATTTAAAATTTATTTATAATATTTCTGAACGTTTTCCGGGCAATTATTATTACTGTTTGAATAACAACAAAACTTAATTTTTATTTGTCTGCTATGTAAAATTGAAATTGATATGGGGTGAAGAAGAAAATGAAAAGTAGAAATTGAATTTTTTTATTTTTTATTTTTGGAATGATTCGATTTTTCTGTAAAGTTCTGTTTTCGTGGTACATAAAGGTTATATGAAAAGCATTTGAGGCCTATTTTATGTGCTGGATTTTTATATGAAAGGATAAAAACGATTGGAATTAATTTTAAAATGACAAGTTCCGTGTTCCTTACTCTTATTTCCCATTTTCTTCTGATTCTCTATTTTTTTCACTAGGGAGTAAATTTCATTTTCAGTGTTTTGCTTTCTGATGTCAATTTCTTGTTGAGGATTCATTCTGTATGGTACTCAGAAAGATTCATAATAACTCACACGCCTTCTCTGTTTCTAATGAATTTAAAGTCGGCTGACCAATTATTTTTCGTCATTCTGTACTTATGATTTATTCTTAGCAACCACTTATCGTGCTCATTTCAGTCTCTATGACTTTAGCTCTGTCTTCAAAGTGTGCTAGTAAGAGCATTCAGAAAGATTCAAGTTAGATAAAAAGTAAAAGCGAAGCTATTGCTTTATCCTGGTTATTTCTCGTGGAATTTCTAATTTTGGGAAAATCATATTTTTCACTCTCTCATATTCCTCATGCTTTATAAGTGCTTGAGGTGTTGAATATAAGCAACTTTTAGGCTTGCTAAGGGTAGCTGAATAGGATTAGCATCCTATGAGCAAAGCCTATATATATGTCTTTAAAACTCTTCGCAAATTTTGGCCTGATTTTGAAGAGAATATTAAAGACTGATATTTTTGTATACGGTCTTTATGTAAGTTCTAACATGGTAGACAAGATCTAGCGGCATATTTACGGATGTCCTTTGCCTGGTTTCTTTGTGTGCTCGGAGTGAGCAAAAGTTTCTGGAAAGCTACCTACTTCATGGAAAACATAATCCTTTTATATTGCCATGTATATTTTTATCCTCATCGGCACCAATTTTCAGTCATTAGCAAGCCATCTGAACGGTGATTGTGCCAGACATCTATGAATTTGCCCAAATGCATTCACTTCACATTAGGACTTCTGCATGGACAAGTCTGTACTTTTCTTCAGTGCTACAACAAATAATATGAAAATACCTCTGATTGAACACGTTGTGGAATAGTTATAGATATTATTTTAAAAAAAATCCTCAAAACATGTTTCATTAGACTTTTAATATTTATAAGTTCATTTAAACTTTGTGTTGGTATGCCTTAACAAATTGTTTGAGAGAATATTTTTCTTGTTATGTCCATGTCCCCATTTTTATCAATATTACACATTTCTTTTTATGAATATTACACATTTCTTTCTTACCGAAACAATTATTAGTCAGGTGATGGTTAGGCTTTATGCTCGATGGACTAACATATGAGGTCATTATTCATCTGTGTTTTGGTTCTTATATATGTTATGACGTGTGAAAAAAACATGTATTATAATATTTGAGGATAAATATGTGATGCTTTGATACTTGAGATAAAAGTGATTATGCACTTGGTACACATAATTGATTCTTCTCTTGGTTCTTAGCGACATGTTTTTTACGGCTTCAAACTTCTTAATTCTGAACTCTAATACAGGGCAACCTCAATCATACATCCACCATATTGGATTACAATCTCGGGGGAGAAGGGGATCTCTTCAAGGCCCCCGAACCAGTAATTCAAGAACCGCTGATTAATCTTGATCCAATGACAGCTGCCATTTCAATGATTTCTTGCGGAGAAAACATTATCTCCCCCCACGCACTGAATGTGTCCGCCATTGAATCATCAATTGAGAGTGGGCAACTCCTCAGTGAGGTCTACTATGAATGCAAGAAGGATATTTTGGCTAAAGATGCAACAGTAACACCACTCTCCGAAGTCATGGATATCAAAATTCCGACTGTAAAGATGGATGAACACCCGAATTCTGATGAAAAAATGCTTCCAGAAGGTCCATTCCAGAAAAGTGTAAGTTCGGGCTGCCTATCGAAGGACTGGATGTGTGATGCTCCACTGAGTTCGAATTTTCTGATTCCCGACATGGACTTGGGGGAAGTTTATGGGATGCGAAGATCATTCAGTGAAGGAGACATAAAGGTCAAGTTTACTCTTGCTTCTTCTTTCTTCAACATTTGTTTATCCATTTTCCTTTACCCCTCGATTCTATTGAGTTGGAGAAAATGGCCTCTTTAGGATATAAGTGGGATAAATAAAGCCCAAATTTTCAAATTACAGATTATATCATATTTATTTTTAGTTTTTTTTAGCAACATACTAAAAATAAATATATTAAAATTTCTGGTGAAATGATCAGCTGTCCGGTTCTGTTCCTACTGCAAACAGATACCTCGCAATAGAAATATTTTTGATTGGGCTCCACATATTTATGGCATGTTTGGTAAGGGTAATTGAAGTATAGCCCAGTATTCGAAACATGTGCTTATTGGATCCATGACAAAGTGTATGAACTGAGAAATGTTTAGATGTTTCTGGCCTTCTAACAGGATAGGGCAGGGTCATTGATACTGAGTTTTTATGACAGACTCTTGGTAATGGTAATATAAGCCTCTTACCACCCTCAATGGGGCAGCCACAGATTATTGGCAGTTGCACTTCTGAAGGGCGGAAGGAAAAACTATCCAGATACAGGAACAAGAAGACTAAGAGGAATTTTGGCAGAAAAATCAAGGTGAGAGTTTGAAAGCTTTTACCAAGTTATATTTTGGTCGAAAATTTATGCCAATAGAAGAGATTGGTACTTCCTCCTGCTAACCTGAAACTAGGGAAGTGCAAGATTGAAATTTTCTTGCTGAAAATGTCTGCATACAGAGTACTTATCAAATGAGAAGAAATTCCCATAGAACAGACCATCGTCTTGGACGTAGAGTGTTCCTCATTATTTGATCGTAAGATGCTCGATCATAAATTATGTGTATGGATGCATACTAGCATAATGGCCCATTGTAGTTATTAATGATGTAGTTGCTTAGCAAGGAAATGAACGGAATGGAGAATTCATGTAGTCTGTCCCAAATTTATTTGGAACAAGGATAAGAACATGTTTGACTAAGTTTATAAGTTTACTTACAAGTATCTAGGTTTATTGTAGTTGTTGGGTGCATACCACCATGAATGCTGTAATTAAATTCATCGATGTATTCAACTTGCTCGGAATACACTAATAATGCATTTTGTTTCAGTATGCCTGCAGGAAGGCCCTAGCCGACAGCCAACCAAGAATCCGGGGAAGATTTGCCAAGACGGAAGAAATATGCTCCCAAGAAGCAATAACTCCGAGCAGGACGAAGAAATATAGGGGAAGGTAGTAGTTAGAACTGATGCTGTAATGGAAGTGATCCATGATAAAGTTAGCTGGTATAATATGAGTCTATGCAGGATCTATAAATAAGCTGGAGCTTAGTTGATTTCTTGTTAAGTACAATAATCTGTAGATCAAATGTTCAACTGGAGTTGTATATACTGTTTGTTTAATAAAATATTTTTGTATATTTCTTAAAAAAACCTCGTTGGTAATGTGTGGAACTGAACAAACTGTCTACCTGTCCGTGCCCATGGTTATAATTTTCATGTTTATTTTAAAGGATTTTATTGGAAAACCTAAAAATGAAAATTTGAGGGAAAAAAGTGCACATGGGTCCAAGTCAGCCTGAGATTTGGGGTTTTCACAAATGGGCTTGGGCCAGTTCACCCATTCCAACACCACTAAGTAGTATGTTAGGTGTCCATGGATAATTTATCAACAGCCTGAGTTCCTAGAGTTGAGTTGGAAATTTGTAATCTTTAAGACCAAATTGATTTGACTGCCCAACTGCCTGTTTTGACGGCAATATTTGAAATGCCGGCAAAGTGTTCTAACTTCTAAAACAGGTATTCTAATTCCATTTTAACTTGAATTCAGAAATTTTATCAACAGATACCATGATGTTCCATTCAAAGACAACTAAAACTATGATCTCAAACAATGAGCATTCTCTTTGAAACTCGTTGGATAACTCAAATAGCTTTCGTAGTTCTATACTAAAAGTCATTGCCATCTAAACAAGATGAGTCTTCAATGATGACAAATAGGTTTACGTCTTTGCTAGCTCAGAAAAATGACATGCAAACACCTATTATCCAAGGCTATTATAACATAGGACTGTTGCCTCTTCCATCTCCATGTGTGAGGCGATAAAGTCATTTACCATCTTCCGACCACCTCCAATTGCGAGATGGAATTATTGAACAACTACCTCTAAGACGACATGACTTCATGCAGATGTGTCAAGTCTCTCATAAGCCAATTAGCATGGATCCAACCTTTGGCTATACTTGTTGGGCCTCCGAAGACCAAGACAGTTAGGGTCTGATGGCAATAACTTATGCTAGGTAGCTAGCTGTGTGCAATTCGGTTAGTGTGACATCTCTACAAGGTTGATTGGAAGTCAATCTCCTCTTTTTCGCCTATGACACTGTGTGGGAGTTAATAGGCCTATAATGGTTAGGATGTAACTTCTAACGCTTGACTTATGAGTCATTGGGATAATACCACTTGTTAAGCATCCAAAAATAAAATATATTCATTTCTCCGTCTACAAATATTCACAAACTGGATAATATTGTAAAGGTAATTATAAATTGGTATATTTCACTCTAAAAATCAAAACACTACTGGTGTTTTTCTTCTCTGTTCGTGTTTAACCCGAACTAATTCTCTCCTTCCATTTATTGACTTGAGTCTCGAAGCATGTACAATCACGGCCTCCTCTGCCTTTGTTTGTAGAAGCTTCGATCCGTACATTTTGTATCCAAGTGTTTAGATAACACAACGTGGAGAAGAGGGGTGAAAATTTGTTGGTGTGTTAGATCCCAATCAAATTCGAAGGTCAACAAATAGCATTACTTTAATCAATGATTTACTGCGATGAAAATATGAACAAAAATTTCCACCATCAAGAAAATTTATTTCCAGCATAGGGTAAATAGTTGAATAACAAAAATCAAGAATCCAATCAGAATCGTTTGAATCTTGATTTTAACTCATGCAACAATTACCTTGAATACTTCTTTTTGCATGGAGAGGCTTAATAGAAAAACAGTTTCTATCCATGAAAAATACACAACCCCTCTTCCACCCATTCCCAAACACACCACACACCCCGGCTACGCACCAAGAGGGCGGGGGGGATAAGGTTTGAGCTAAGGGTCCGTTTGATTGCAAAGATGCAATTTGAGTAGAAAGAAAACGAATTCTAAAGAATTGAATTGTCTAGAAATTATTTTATTGGGAAATGTTAAATATTATATTGGATTGATATAATTTTTTATATGAAAAATGTTGAAATAAAAGTATTTTTTGGTGTTCATTTGACTTTGTTTTACATGAAAATTATCAATTAAAGAGATAAAATTTACTGGTATCGAGGATAAAATTTGTTTCCATTGTACTAAAAAAAATCATCTATCTTTAGGCGTTTGTTTGATTTTATTTTACATGGATATTGTCAATTAAAGAAAAAAAATTTACAATTAAAGATAAAATTTGTTTTCATTGCAAAAAAAATAATAATAATAATAATAAAAAGGGGAACAGTAGCCTAGAAAATTCCCATTGAAAACCAAGAAAAGTCCCCTTTTCGAAAAAACCAAGAAAATCAATTCCACGGAAAAAACCTATCAAAACAGCAAAAAAGTGGAAGTTGGAATTTGAATTCCATTTTTCATGAAAAATTCATGCCTATCAAACATGCCCTAATTTTAATTATTCTTTATTTTTCAACTTACCCAGTAAAGACAGACCTGAAATACCCCCACTAAGAATTCAATGACACAGCACTGTCTTCCACTCCTTTGGGAGGGGTGTTGGGGGAATTGGTGATTGTAATTCAAACAAATGTTGCTTAATTTCGAACATGGAGGTCATCTTCTTCTCTATGAAAAATCAAAATCTAAACACAAATTTACACAATATAATGTAAAACTCAATTCAACAAACTTAGTTAATTGTCTTTTGAGAAATTAAATACTAAAAAATCAAATAAATTGCATCATAATCCATTAATCTTCATCCCACAAATATGCAGTGAAAATTACAATTATTATTTATCCATAAACATTATATTATTTTTCAAAATTTTTGGAGTCCCAGTTTCTTTTTATTCGAGCAAACGTGAATCATTTTTCTCCTTTGACTAATGAAGTCAATAGCTATGGTCAAAGGTGATATCGTCCATCATTTTCGATTAGTGAAGGCAATAGTTACGACCAAATCATAAGTTTTTGGAGGGAATGCGAAGAGAATTGACAAATATTTTTTTTGAATAAATCTCTTATTAGAATAGTACTGTTAATCCTCAAGCCAAAATTTTCCAATTCTTTACGGGTTATCTAAAACGATGAAAATCCTTAAAGACATCAACACGCTTCCAATGCAACAGATGTCATGTCTCGACGTTGGCCTTGCAAGACAACGCACGCGCGTCCCGCAAGTTTCAGTCGATATATACATTCAGTGTGTATATGCATCCATCTTTCAGGGAAAAATATTCTGCACCAAATTAGCTACTCTTCTTTTAATTTAAAAATTAGATTATTATTATTATTATGTATTCACACGCAGAGTCTTGTACTTACACATATACACGGCAATATATAAATATAACATTGTGTTTGTCGTCTCTCTCTCATCAAAACCCAGAGCAGTTAGAGAGAGCTTATTGGAACGGGGATCTTAATTCGTATATTTCTCTCCGAACATCAAAATTTGAGTTTTTTTTGGTGGAAATTAAGAAATTTTGAATTTTCCGTTTGTTTGGGGTGAAAGGTATTTTCTGTTTTGCGTGGAAGATTTTTTGGGAGGTGCTAGAGTTTGTAAGAGGAATTAGGGTTTCGGAGTAAAAATTTGTCTTTTTTGTCATTGAATTGGGAATTCTGGAGCAGGATGATAATAAAGAAGAACTTGAAATCGGTAATGCCGAGTTTGAAGCGGTGTCGAGTGGGTGAGTTGGGCGGTGAGGACGACGAGTCATCGGGGAAGAGGAAGAAACGCAAGTCCACCAATGGGTGTTACCCTCTGCACCTTCTTGGAGAGGTTGCCGCCGCTATAATTCCGTTCAACGCCTACAGTATCCAGCGAATTCTCACAGCCGCCGCCGCCGCCTCTGAAGGCCGTGGAGCAGCTGCAGAGGTGGAAACGAAGGCTTCTAGCTGCCCTGTCCGCGAGCCGAAATCGAAGAAGATTGCACAGCCCCCGCTGGTGAGAACGTCGCGGGGGAGGGTTCAAGTACTTCCCTCTCGTTTCAATGATTCAATTCTTGATGACTGGAAGAAAGATAAGAATAAAAATGCAGTTAAAGATTCAGTTTTTGACCAAGAAACTATGCCATTTAAAAAAGAAAAGGATAAAGTCAGTTTGAAAAGCTCCAGAATCCGGGGCAATAATGTAAACTGTAAGAAGCGTAAGATTGATAAGAATAGCTACCAATGTCGTAAGTTCTCGCCATTGTCAGAGGATGAGATAGAGGAATTGAGGTCTGGCGTGTTGAAGAGTTCTGATATTAGGAAGTATTCTAGCTCATTAAGGTTTTTACATAAGCATTTGTTAGATAGCGAGGAGTTGGAGGAGGGTTTACTAAGTGGCTATGATAAAATATATAGGCCTGAGGATTTTTCATCCGGTGATATAGTTTGGGCAGTATCGGGGGACCAATGTCCTGCTTGGCCCGCTATTGTGCTTGATCAAGAGTTGCAAGTTCCCCAGCAAGTTTTGAATTTCCGGGTTGCTGATGCAGTTTGTGTAATGTTCTTTGGTTACTCAGGAAATGGGACGCAAAGGGTAATATATACCATTTTCAGTCTCCAGTTTCTTTGTTAACTGTAATTTGTGCGCTTGACCGATGTTGTGCTCAATATGTGTAAATAAAATATTTGTGGCAGTAAATTGATTTTTTGAAATTTTTTGGTGTCCTGATGAGCAGGATTATGCATGGATTCAATGCGGGATGATATTTCCATTTGTAGACTATGTAGACAGGTGTGTAATAGCTGGGTTATATATTTTTTCTTTCACTTAATTTTGAGGTTTTTGTTGAAGTTGGGGATTACAGTAAGACTTTGCTGGTTTAGGTTTCAGGGGCAAACTCAATTGAATGATAGCCAGCCTAATGATCTTCGTTCTGCTATAGAGGAGGCATTTTTAGCAGAAAATGGCTTTAATGAGATGTTGATGGTTGAAATCAATGCTGCAGCTGGTAATTTAGATTATCTCCAGTCTCTTACAAGAGGGGTCTTTGATTCTTCTGATGCAAATCAGATCACTGATTGCAACTCTCTAAAACAGGTAAATTTTACAATGTGTCGACTAATTATTTGCTTGTGGGAACATGGATAACAGCAAGGGTGTAACGGTGGCTTAAAGGTTTTCACACGGTATTTGGGGAAAACTATACTATAGTGCTGGTTTAATACTGCACAATGAACATGTATTATAGTTTCCTATGCCAACTCGGAGCTATGTTTTCATGTTCCTTTTATTTTCAGATACAAGGCCAAATAAAAGGTTACTCTTCTTGGTATTGGAAATCATTGATTTTATTTCCTGGTGCAGGACGTGTTCAAAATGCAAGAGACAAGATCTTGTGAGGCCTGTGGCTTGAGCATTCCCCAAAATATATCTAAGAAATCAAATGATACCAATGTTGGGACCCGTCGATTGTGTGGTTCTTGTGCAAGGGTTTGTTATTTGACTTGACTTGCCTTGTATCGTATTGCTGCAGTCTTGACAATCTTCAGCAATGATTGTTGAGTTCTTGTGGGTTACTTATTGTCTCTTTTCTGTTTCAGTTGAAAAAAATAAAACATTTTTGTAGCATATGCAAGAAGATTCGGAATCAATCTGATAGTGGAACTTGGGTAGGACCATGGTTTAGTTCTTAGGAACCCTTTTTCTTTTTATTGTTTCCTCTCAATATCTGATTGTTAAATCATACGAACATTTTCCTTTATAATATTTTCATCAAATTAGGTACGCTGTAATGGTTGTAAAGTCTGGATCCATGCAGAGTGTGACAAATATTATGGGAATAATTTCAAGGTCTTTTCTTCATGCCTCATCTCTAAAGTCTTTCTTCCTTACCATCTGAATGCATAGTACAGATAGAACATGAATCGTATTGATTAAGTCATGAACCATTTTCTCTGTTTCTAGGATCTGGGAACCACTGATTATTACTGTCCTGAATGCAAAGCAAGGTTCAATTTTGAATTATCAGACTCTGAAAATTTGCAGAATAAAGCCAAGTAAGTTTCATTTTTCTTGCAAGTGCTTGTCTTCTATTTGCAGAAAAAATTCGTCTGTCACTTCTGATCGTCTTACGTTGAGTTTTTCTCGCTGCAGAAATAACAAAAAGAATGGTGACTTGGTGCTGCCCATCAAGGTTGCTGTCATGTGCTCAGGCGTGGAAGGCATTTATTTTCCAAGTCTTCATTTGTAAGCACGGATAACTGCCCCATGGCTTGTCGATTTTGCACGCTTGCTACTTGTCTCTCTTAGTATTTTCCACTCTGAAATTTATTTTGCATTGGTCAATTAAGGTTTGTGATTTTGACAGAGTTATTGGTGATTTAATCCATACTTTATTGAACTCTGTAACTAACATCTGAAATTATGTCTGAAAAAATAGATTCTCACAAATGCTTCATACTGCTTTTGCTTTAAAAATGTTGCCAATTACCAATCAATGGAAATGTTTCTTTTCTTGTCATGCTTACCGTGTTTCATATTTTCCTATTGTCTTTTTTCAAGAACAGAACATGATCACTAGTCTGGGGTCCTAACTATTTTCTGTTAAACTTGATATCTGAATCATGCAAAGTTGAAATATCTTGCTGATATTCTTGTGAAAGCTGTAATGTTGCTTTAATAACCCGCCTTGCTTCCAACTTTGAAGGCTGGAGGAAGAAATTTATTTTGTATTGTATGAGGGAGGCATGTACCTTTTAGTAACTTGGCACTACTTTACCTTGAACTGGATCCAGATTAGGTTCAGCTCATGGGATGTGTCCCAGAAGTTTTGACTGTGACAGATGGCACCAGAATGGCCTTTGGGAAGTGTCTATGTGGGAGTCTCAAGCTGAATGCGTAATCGCTGCCCACATCTCCTTCCTTCTTCATCTCCCTCCAGCCCCCTGCCCATCCTCCCCAGCTAGTCCAGAGCCTCTTCTTCCTGCAACCACATCACCCCCACATTTCTCTCTTCCCTACGTCACTCACCTCCACACCCCCACTGCAACTGCTCTGCTCAGCACCCACCCACTACATGCCTCCTCCTCCTGTTTTTGTCCCATCGAGAAAAGTGGGAGTTGATATGAGGTCAATTTTGACTGACTTGGGGTTGGTTTTACTGAGTTAGTTTTCCTTTTCACTTATTTATAAAAATAATGCACGATAAGAATATATAAAACATTTTAACAAGGCCTTGTAAACAGAAATTAGAAAGGCTATTTTTCACTTCCATGTTGTGAGAAGACCATTTTTAAACATTCTCCATGTTTATTAGACATAATGGATCAGTTATTCTTTCTTACTGAAAATAGTGATTATTTTGGGGACTTAGCTAGTACTCTGGTCTGGGCTATTCCGTCTTTATGATGTACTTTATCATCCATTATACACCGACAGTCTGCACCATAGCCTATCCTAAAATTTATTTGAATTAAAAAAATTTTGCTTGAGTGTATGTTTGCGCATTTATTTTTCTTTTGTTCATGTTATTGTCTTGTGATGTAAATTAATGTTAATATCTTTACGAACTGATGAATTCACGGTAACTGATCAAGGATTGCGAGCATGATTTGCTCGCCTGTGCTGCTTTTTTTTTTTTTGTTTTTTAGCTGAAGGACCTTGGGTTACATGTAGCACCTTTTTTAGGACGTAGATTACTCTTTGATTTCTGGGGTGTTTTTCTTATGCTGACATCTGTAATGCTACCTCTTGCCTGCTTCCATTTTGCAGAGTTGTTTGCAAGTGTGGGTCTTGTGGAATAGAAAAGCAAGCACTTAGTGAATGGGAACGGCATGCGGGTTCAAAAGCCAAAAACTGGAAATCAAGTGTTAGGGTAAAAGGTTCCTTGATACCTCTTGAACAATGGGTTCGTATTTGAAGTTGGTGTTTCACTTAATGCACTCATTATATTCTCCAGGAACATGTAGGAAGGGATTTAATAGGAAGGGGTTTAATTACATGAAATAATAGATGTTCAAATTTTGGTGATCGCTCTAGTGATATAATATGTTTTACTGAGTAGGTCATTGTCTCAGTAATTACCCTTTGAGGAGGAGCATATGCATCCAATAGAAACTTTTCTGGTTTTACAGATGCTACAGGTAGCAGAATATCATGCACTGAGTCTTGTTCCTGCCAAACCCCTTAAGCGGCCTTCCATCAAAGCACGGAAGAATAAGTTGCTTACTTTCCTGCAAGGTATGACCTTTCCTCTGCTTTTGAAACTTATTTGCTGCATCTGCCTCATCAATGAAGGAACTAACTTTGAAGTTCTTTAACGTGATAGAGAAATATGAACCTGTTTATGCCAAGTGGACAACAGAAAGGTGTGCAGTATGTCGGTGGGTTGAAGATTGGGACTACAACAAAATTATAATATGCATTAGGTATTTTCAGATATGAACTTCATATACCTGATTTGGCATCCATTAAATCTTGCCTTATGAAGGCAAGTTGCAGAAATACAATAAATGCATTTAACATTTAAGTTAGCCATTACAATTGATTACTGAGATAATGAAGGCTTATCCACTATCTTCCACCATCCAATGGCAACTTTTTTCCTATCCTTCTGAGGCCCATAATTTAAAGTCTAATAACGTAGTATAAACTAGATGATTTTCTGTTTGTACTTGTATGTCTCTTAGCTGAATGTTTTTAATTAGACTGCCTCATGTGCCCCAAAGATTGTGTTGATAGTGCATGTATTGGATAGGTGTAGCAACTTTACGTAATTCTCTTCATTTTACAAGACAAATCTTGCACTAGTCCTGCTAAAAATTATGTCATCTTACCATTGTATAAAATAGTTATTACATCAAGTTTGTTTTGCTTAGACAGTGATTGAGTTTTAAGAACGCTAGTTAATGGACAATATAATCCTGATAAAGCTTTGTTACTCTCAGATGTCAAATAGCTGTGCATCAAGAATGCTATGGAGCAAGAAACGTTCGTGATTTCACTTCATGGGTCTGTAGAACCTGTGAGACACCTGATATTGAGCGGGAGTGTTGCCTCTGTCCTGTGAAAGGCAAGGACTTGCATCTGTTACCTATTTTAAAAATCATGATAGTTCTATATTATTGGTCTGATTTTTTGCTTGAAGCAATTTATCATAGTTTAATGTAATTTTTTCTTTAATTAAAATTATTTGAAGAAGATTAAAGTCTTAAATGACAGTACAAGAAATACATTCTTGTGTTGTCTGCCATTTACCATGTGACTTGCGAAGCATATAAATATTGTAAGAGATGCAAGATTATGATGATATATATTGAGATATAGCATTTCCATGATCTTGTCGTATTTGTTGAAGTTTGGGCCACTATAATTTGAGTTCCTTGTGAACATGCTGTGCTGTCTGTTCAAATATGAAAATTGAGGTGATCTGTCACATTTAACAAAAAAAAATTATTATACTACTAAGAGTATATTAGTTGAAGAAGATGCAGAAATTGCTTCTATAGGAATCTTTATTATGTACTTTATTGTAAAAATGGCTTAAAACATATCTATTATTTTTGAAATTCTTAAAATTAAGTAAAGCACGAGTGTCTTTGAAGTTGATTCTCATTGTTTCTGAATAACTTTTACATACATGTGTTGGGAAATTTAGGGGGTGCTCTGAAACCTACGGATGTTGAGCCATTATGGGTCCATATTACTTGTGCTTGGTTTCAACCTCAAGTTTCTTTTGCAAGTGATGAAAAGATGGAGCTTGCTTCTAAAGGAATCATTATTATGTACTTTATTGTAAAAATGGCTTAAAATATATCTATTATTTTTGAAATTCTTAAAATTAAGTAAAGCACGAGTGTCTTTGAAGTTGATTCTCATTGTTTCTGAATAACTTTTACATGCATGTGTTGGGAAATTCAGGGGGTGCTCTGAAACCTACGGTTGTTGAGCCATTATGGGTCCATATTACTTGTGCTTGGTTTCAACCTCAAGTTTCTTTTGCAAGTGATGAAAAGATGGAGCCTGCACTTGGAATCGTGCGAATCCCTTCAAACTCTTTTGTGAAGGTATTTTTTCTAGTGAAGTGGCCCACTGGCTCCCAAATTCCTGTTCTATTTTCGTACAATTCAAGAATTTGGTGATTTCAGTCTTTTCCTGTTCTATTCATAATTGTTTTTTTTTTAAACCGAGAATAGCATTGAAAACTGCGGGGACAAAATTTACTGATTTTTTTGGTTATATACATCTCTGTAGGTTCCAATAATCAGGATGCAAAATACAGAATCATCTGATTGATTTTATAAACATGAATCATTCTCAATCTGAATTGTTTGTTGAATTTTTGAATTTCAGATTTGTGTAGTTTGCAAGCAAATTCATGGTTCTTGCACGCAATGTTGCAAGTGCTCCACCTATTACCATGCTACGTGCGCATCAAGGGCTGGTTATCGCATGGAGGTAAACTTGATCAACCAAGTTTTTTATTCATTTGGTGCTGTTAAAATAGATAACAACAGTATGCTTTTCCACTCCTCTCAAAAAGACATTGCTGGCATCATTTAAATTGATTCTTTTACCGTACAATCTGCATTGCCACAGAAATAACGAGTCTCTCTTTAACGAAGATTTTGTAAGTCTATCGAAGTTCCTTCTACATATCTGATAATAACAATCTAAAATCAAAACCAACATTCTTGGCATTTTTACTAAGGTGGATTGAATTACATGTGCGTCTACACACAATATGCTAACCTCCACCCTCTGGTGTGAACATCTGTTTCTATTGCTAACACGTGGTTGGAATGGCCAGAATTTGTTCTCAAAGTTTCACCTTCACAACTGTCAACTTTCCTTTTTGGTTAAATGAGTGTATGTGTATTACCTTATCCATATTTCTATTTATCATATACGTGTTTAGGTGAATCACTCACTAATGTGCTTGCTAATTTAATTATAGCTCCATTGCCTGGAAAAGAATGGGAAGCAAATTACAAAAATGGTTTCATATTGTTCTTACCACAGGTACTTCTCCATGTTTTCTGAAATTAGGGCCTTAACATTTTACTATACATACATATATAGAGAGAGATAATAGTGGAGTCTAAACTGCATCTTTTCATGCAAATGTTGTCCTACCAACTTCTTGGGATGTGCCACCTTTAGGGCTCCAAATCCAGATAATGTGCTAATCATAGAGACTCCAAAAGGGACATTCTCAACTAAAAGCCTTCTTCAAAACAGAAGGCATACTGGTTCCAGGCTAATTTCAACAAGTAGGTTGAAACTAGAGGAAGCTCCCTCAGTAGAGATTGATGAGGTTGATCCATTCTCTTCCGCAAGGTGCCGGGTCTTTAAAAGATCAAATAGTAAGGTATATTTTTTGAAATTTCTTTTGGTGTAGCATGCATATTGGTCATAGGTATAAGTTCAATGTAATCATTTTAATACCATGTTAATATTTTATTTAGCAAGCATAGTTTTGCACTAAATTGCATCCCTTAAGTTTCCTTTATATCTCATCCAGTTTTGCCAAAATTTGTGGCTCCTGACTCTTTTTGATCTCCCTGTTCTTATTTTCTGTTCTCTAGAGGGTAAGAGAGGAAGCTGTTGCCCACCGAATTATGGGACCTTCTCTTCATCCCTTAACTGCTATACAGAGCTTGAATGCAAACAGAGTAACTTTCTTCTCATGGTTTTAGGTTTTGCTTGTGAAATTTGTTGTTTTATTTAAAATCAGATTGGAAAAGTAAAGGTGCTTATTTAATTTGCGGTTCCAGAAAAATGCATATGCTTATTTTTGCCCCTCTTTGGTTAGAAAATAGAGAAGCCTAAGACCTTTTCTACCTTCAAAGAACGACTTCATCATTTGCAGGTAATATTTAATCATTGATGTTTTATAGTTATTTGTTTGGAGTTGAATAACTCTCTCTCCTAATATTTAATCTGTGACTCCAGAGGACAGAAAATGACCGGGTTTGCTTGGGTAGATCTGAAATACATGGATGGGGTCTATTTGCACGTAGAAACATCCTTGAAGGAGAAATGGTATTCCCTTCTCCAGTGTTTATATGATTTGAGTCATTAAAAACATCAATATAAAAAAGGAAGAATATTTTTTCTTTTAGTTGTTCCATCTTTTTCGACTGGAACCCTAATGTTTTTTCTTGCATGTCTATGTACACATTATTTAATGGAATTCTCGTATGATTTGGCCAGGTTGTGGAATACCGTGGTGAACAAGTTAGGCGAAGTGTTGCAGATCTTAGAGAAGCACGTTATCGTGCATCGGGGAAAGACTGCTATGTGAGTTGATTTCTTCTGCAATCAAATTTAGAGCATGTTTGACTAATCTTAAAATAGAATTGAAGTTATTTAAGTAACTATTTCTCTCCAAACATGTTTGGATTACAAAATCTTACCTATGTCAAAATAAGCAGCTTACTTATTTCCAATTTAATTTTCACAAACGACTTTTTTCCCCCACAATACACTTATTTGTAAGAAAACTTTATAATCTTAATCAAACATGATCTTATTAGGGTTGCCATGTACAATCATTTTACTCGTGATACATTTCTTTAACAGCTATTCAAAATCAGTGAAGAGGTTGTGGTGGATGCCACAGATGCTGGAAATATTGCAAGATTGATCAATCATTCTGTAAGTTTTGTTAAGATTTGTGCTATCTTTTCAAACCTGCAGTCATATTCTCGTTTAAATAAGTTCAATGCATTGTACGATGTCACTTGTGATTTCCTTCCGTAAATGAAGGGGAGATCCCTGATGAATTGGCTGACAAGTTCAAGTTTTGTTTATGGTTGATGGATCAATTGTCCTTGTCCATTAGTTTGGCTAAAGGCAAAGGTGATGTGGCAGCCTAATTATTTGCCAACTAGACTGCCACGTCAGCTTTTTATCAGTGAAACTAACAGACATGGACGAATGTAACTTTTAAGTCTCAGTATTCTGAATTTGTGGTTAACAGTGCATGCCCAACTGTTACGCAAGGATTATGAGTGTAGGTAAAGACGAGAGTCGGATTGTACTTATTGCCAAGACAAATGTGCCTGTTGGCGATGAATTAACGTACCTCTCTCTCTCTCTATCCCTCTTACACACCCATGGTGCACATGCACACATCGTTCTCGATAAAGCTAGTTGATTCATCTCTCACTAATTCTCTTAAACAATTTCTACGGATGCAGGTACGATTATTTATTTGATCCAGACGAGGGGGACGAATTCAAAGTCCCTTGTACTTGTAAAGCTCCAGAGTGTCGAAAATTCATGAATTAGGATACACAAAAGTATAGCCATTGTTTCTTTTCAAGGAATTCTAACCACCTCACAGCTTGCTTACCGGCGTTGTAATTTTTTTCTCATAGAAAATATAAATATTTTTTATTTTTTATTATTATTTTTTTTCATATATTCATCAAAGCATAATAATAGGCCTCAGTTGCCGTGTGAACAAAGACAAGGTCATCATCCTTGTAGTTAAAAGTAAAGATGACAACATTGTTTTATTCTTCCATTGATAACCATAAATTGTCAAATTATTTATTTTAATATGGATTTTCTTACTGGAAGCAAAATATCATCTAGGCACAATACAATCGCCGAAATCATTCTTTTCATAGTTTATTATTCTTGATTATTGTCTCGTCTAACTAGTGCTACACATTCTTATCTCTAGCTTTGTATCATTATGCTTATGAGTTATGGCATGTTAATATCTCTATCGCTGTTCACTTATTTACGTACTAAGTTCTCGTCTATGTACACACATTAAAAACATTAATTCTAATCCAATTTAAAAATTTCCGAAGAGAATTTCTTTGTCGAAACTCCCGAGTTGTCTGACGTGCTTTTTCTCTAATTTCCGTTTCTTCCTCTTACAATCTCTCTCTGGTAAGCTTCTCCGACTTTCACTTATTTACGTGCATGTTCATCTGTATCGTGATCCAATTAATTACACCTTATTTTGTTTTGTTCGTTTATGATTTCAGCCTGCTGCTAGTGAATTTAGCTTAGTTTTGGAAAAAATAACCACCAATTGCCGTTTGGTTTACACTTTTTTAATTGATTACCTCTGTACTTCTTATTCCTCCCGTTATTATTGTTGGATTTTGTGCCAAAGAACCTTCGATACTCGATACAATGGTGAAAAATCAAGTCGGACTTCGACATGTTTTGAACCTTAATTGAAGAAAATAAAGTGATGCGAAACATACGAGATTAGTCAATTTACCCGTCCCAGACAAGAATTAAAGTTACTATGTGTGCATTTTAAAAAATATATATTTTGAAATAATAGATTGATGTATAATATGATTAAAAAAATGAGGAAAATTTTTGAATTTGCACAAGATATTATTTTATTGAAGAATGCGTAGTTAAATGATATCAAATTATCGTTTAAGAATGCATTTTTTGAAAGGAATGCGAGGGCCAATATTTGAGACGTAACACTTAACAAAAATTTCTCAAATAGCACTAAATCAAAATAAATTAAGCCCTTGGATCCATATATCATCAACATTAATAATAAGATGTTGTATTAACATTTTCGTTTCCAAGCGAATCCATTGAATTTTCTAATGATGAGTTGGGGAGTAATGAGTGTTAATATTTGACAAATCTAGTGATCATTCGAAACTTTTAAAATTTAATGACCAACGAAATAATAATTTAGTAAGTTCGACGATCATCCATCCAAAAAACTTTTAAAAGTTTAATGATCAATGAAAAACATTATGCTACATTCATTGACCATATAAAGTTCTAACTCCCTGGAAGTGAAAAAATGGATAAATTAAGAATTTTTGTTCAAAAGGTAACTTATTTAGTGTATGTTCGGTATTGATTTTTCTTCCCAAAAAATCAATTTTTTGATCGTTATTTCACTATTTCAGCCGTTATTTTTTACTTCTCTCACAGATATAACGCACTTTTTTATCTAACTGTCAAAAAATCAATTCTCAAAATCACTATCGAACAAACGACTTTTGTAAGAAGTCATAATAATCAAGAAGGCCTATGAACCATAAGTCCTCGACTCTCTAACTGACGACGTTAAATTGACAAGCAATACGTTTCATTCTCTCCGTCCTTTTTCGTTTCAACACACCACAACAAAAACTGGTATATTGAGAATTCAAAAAATTCATTCGCTTCCAAATCATTACAAGTGTTCTCCAATGCTGCTTTATCAATTTTTCTTGACAATCAAAAGAAAGGTAACTAAAATAGTTAAGACCCCTACAAACAGGGGATTCGGACAAATAGACTCAAAATGGTTGCATTTTCCATTTTTTACCCTTTTCGTGAATCTCCAAAAAGTTTCATTTTTTTTTTTCTACTCCGAATTACATACCACAAAAGATTAGGTCCTCAATATGTCAAGACTGATGGCTCTACAGGACTGGATCACTTGCCCTACATTATATATACATGAAAATAATAAAAAAAAGTAATTACACGGTCATGAGATAAGAAGTACGAATGATTTCCATAAAGAGGTCTTACCATAAATTTCAGGAAAATAATGAAGGAATCTGGCGGAATTGTTTACTTCAAATCAAACCCTGGCGTTGCAGATCAGTGTATGTCTTTTTATTGTAGATGTTGCCCTCTTGGTCTTCATATTCTTCTTCAAGATCAGGGCGCCATTTATGCACCCCTTGCCGTTCTTGGATTCTCTCCCACAGGTGCTTTGCTTCCTGGGTGATAAGAGAATATCATGCATTATACATGTTAGGCCCGTATTAATAGTGTACAGTAGTGTCCATCCTATTATACCAAACATGCAACAAATGTATGAATACTCGCAACATAAATGAAGTCAACCCACCAATCACCAGATGGATCTAAACACCAAATAGCTGAAAAACAAATGACAGGATAATGATGGTATGCTGAAGTGATGTGTGATAAAAGCATACCTCAATAGATGTTATTTCATTGAAGTTCTTGGTATTCGGAATACCAAGACATCGCATTCCATGCTGATGTCTCCATTCCTTGAAATGCCTCTCATAAGCTCTCCGGCCCCAATAACTATGGTTCCCACAAATCTCACATTTGAACTCCTGAAAACATTCATAACAAAGTCCTGAGAAAGTTGACATCATCAAAATAAGTACCAAATTATTAATAGCCTCCTTAAAACAGAACAACAAAGACAAGAATATGCCAATACAATTCTAAACCAAAACTGACTCATCATTCAGTCCTTTTGATAAATGTACACATTTCTTTCTATGTTCAAGTATGACCAAGATGTTGGCACGAAGGAAGTTAAACAATCCACCACTTTCACAGCTCTCACTTTATTTTATTTTATTTTATTTTTCATTTTCATTCTCTTGTAAACTATGTATCATTTGATCTCTTTTTTCCATTTTTATAAGCTCATGACAAGGACATTTGGATAAGAAACTGAAAAGGAATGACTCTCAAGTGCTTATAAATTCAAGCACCATCAGCTACAATTTTAGGTAACATATGAAGTTCACTTAGAAGCCTATCTGTCCATGATATCTAGTAAATAGAGAGATTAAAGCATAAATATCTCACTTTCATTCAGTAACACCTCCATATCACTTGTCAATATTCATACTATAGGATTACAACTGAAAGATTAGCATTTTTTGTGTAGGGCGAGGAAATTTATTAATTAACAACGTTGTAGAAGAATAAGATATCCACCATGGTATGGAAGCTGCTGGTTAAAAACTTGTAAACCGGTGGTATAAATGAACTATAGTTCTTTGTAACCAATCTGAAGAGAACTTTATTCTAATGACACCATTAACTTGTGATCATAAATGACAATTACCTGCCCAAGCCCATGAAGCTTATACAACCAATAGGGGATAGGCTTCCCATCCCATCCCATCCCATGGGCAATTTCAGGGGATTATAGATCTGCTGCTCGTCATCATCACTCTCAGATTCAGCTTGTACCTCTTCCTGATCAAAAGTTCAAATCAAACAAAAATATATTGCCAGGTAAAACTGCAAACAAATCAACAATGTGTGAACATATCCAAATATCAGCTGTAGAACTGTTTCAAGTTTTAAACTGATAAGGCAATAGAGAATAACTCATACTAGCTATTATCATTTCTTCCTTCCATCAACGGTGAAAATCCATCGTACAATGCTGCAACACTAATCGATCTTTGTAATACATTTAGAGGTGCAACTTAATGAGAATAGATATTAAAAATATCTCGGAAATGCAAAATAAATAATGATATTAGATGGTCATTATCCTTTATGCTTGCTATCAAATACCATGGAAAATCAATAAACTAAATCTTTACGAGGGCACCATTACTATTTTCCTTTTTCTTTAGTGTGCATGTTGGAGGGTTGGGGAAAATTACCTCTTCACGTTCTGCTTCCATTTCCTCGTATGTCAAGGCCTGTTTCTTCTCAACATTTTCTTTTGTTCTGACCATTGTCTATACCGTTCCGAAACCAGAGAAAAGTTAATATACATGAGGGTACAACATCTTTAACAAGTAATGTTGCTAACGTGCTCATATCTCCACTAAATGCACATTTAAGAAAGCAAAAAGTACATAGCTTAATTGATTATCTAGAATCATCAGAAAGAAAGAGAAGACATGAGAAAAAAGGAAGATGGTCTTTTCTTTTGGGATGGATATGGTTAGCTCACCTCTTGCAACAAGTCACACAACCTTTTAACTTTGGATTCAATCAGGGCAATCTCTTTTGCATCTGCACTTGGTTGAATAGTTACAGAATTACCATTTTGTTGTGGACCACGAGACCCTTTGGCGAAATGTTTCCTGTCCAACTTCTCGAGAGGTGTATGCTAAAAAAGAAACATAGCAAGATCAGCGTGCTAGCCATATTGATGATCACCAGGAAAAAATGATAAATCCTGACCTTTGTAAGAAAAAGCCTCTCTGCACGCTGTTGAATGGTACCACCTGTCTTCAAACCTAGTGCAGCCAATGCCTATACGCAGGATATATGTCATTCGATATGTACCACAACCAAGAAAAGCATTTTCTCATTATAACTTCACATGTACATATATAGAAACTATGAATCCAATAGCACGACATGAAAAGCATACTGCATAAAAAATGCTACACTATGTCAGAGAGGTATTTTAGAGTACATGTCTGCATTTATTCATTCAGGGAAATTGCATGAAATTTATTGTTAATGCTTATTTTGTAAATCATTGCTCGGGCCTTACAGCATATTGCTTCCTAAATCCTCAATCCATTATAACCATCCAATTTATCATTCCTCAATACAAAATTTCTTTGTACAGTCCTAAAGCTTAGCACGAACAAGAACTTGGACAATGAAATGTGGATCACAATACCAGTTACTTTAAATTGAACATGCAGGAAAAACTTAGAATTGCTTCCATCAACTCCTGCCATACCTCTTTTAGCCTATCGGGTCCCACCTCCATCAGTTCTTCAATGGTACCATCACTTCCACCCATGAAAATCAGAATTCCTACTTAGAAAATGAAGTCAAGAAAGCATTCACTTCAGAAAATAAGGGAAGGTAACAACTGTTACAAGGTTAATCAGACATTACACCAAATTCTCTAGAAACTAATATGGAACCCAGCTTAATGCCCAATAACGGACAACAAAAACCACAATTATCCTTCAACTCAAAACTTTGAAAATTTCAGCACCCCAATATGTCCCTTAGCCACCACCCACCAACATTAGGGAGCATCTAGCTCCAACAGCTTTATGCGGCAAACAACACGCTATGTGCAACATAAACACTCACCCAGGCAGAGAGAACCCATCCAGAGGGTTCAGTAGGCCGCTGCCTCATCTAACCCAAGTACCCTACCGGTTCACCAAGTAAGTACCCTGAATAATTCCATTGTAGGTCATTGTTTCCGACATGGTGGTACCATGGTTCTAAGTTGAAATCAAAAACAATAAAACAATGAAATGCCAATATTGCTTCTAAAACAGGAAAATCAGGGTATGCAGCAAACTCCAAAGATATGGGGCCAAGAAATGGAAAGGCACTTCACGTTTCTTGAATTATTATATAAAACATTCGTCCAAGTGCTCTTAAGAGATACTTCTACATACATATTCAAAACCAAAACTCTCCTTCAATTTTGCCAACAATACCATCCATTCAGATTGCAGTTGATCATAATGTATCTTGAGGGCCTTGAAAATAATAAAATATTGCCCAGTCTTCTTCTGTGAGTGTGAGTGTGTGCGCGCATGGGTATGGGTGTGCGGAGGGAGGGGGAGAGAGAGAGAGAGAACCTCCCCGCTGAACTCAATTTGTGGTTCCTCTTTGAGAAGTTGTTCATACTCGTCATTGGCATCAACAACTCGTGCAGCTGGATGTCGTCTATGGTACTCACGAATCTACATAGTACTCAAATTTTAGGAAACAAACACTTTCCACGGACAAGAAAAAATTTATAGATAAACAATTAAGTGAAAAGCATGCCCGTGTTGAACATAAAGAAACTTCCTTTTAATAATAAGAATAAACCCAGGAAAAGCGAACCTCTTTTAATCTATCATAAAATGCACTAAAAACATTGGTTCCCGTCGCTGTTTGACCTCCAAGAGCCGCAATCTCGTCCTTCCTGGAACTGTCTTTATCTTCATATATTTCAATCTATTTCAACAAAAACAAATAAATCAATTATTACTTATTTCATCATTAAATCACCACAAATATAAAACTATACAAAAAACGAAAAATGAAAGCAAAAGCTAATAATTGAACAAAAATTACGAGTTTGTTAGTCGTGGAGGTGATTTGCTCTATCATGTTACGAACGCGGTGGCTCTGGTAGAGCCGGTCCTTGTTGGTCGGCGGCTCGTTCTGGAGGTCCTTCACGATTAGCCGCTCAAGCCGCTCCACCTCTTCGTGAGATGCACGCGCCACCTCCAGCAGTGTCGACGACATTCTCTCTCTCTCTCTCTCTCTCGGGCTTTGATTTTCTCCGTCCGGCGGTAGCAGAGGGTTCTCTGAAGATGGCAATAAAAGACTACCGTGTCGTATTCTGTTTTAACTGGGGAAACCCAATAAAGAAAGATGATCTGTTTGAATAAAATTTAAGGTTATTGGGCATTTACTGTAAATTCATATTTTTGAGGCGTGGGTCATTGGACCGGTTCGAAGATAATGAATACAGGGTTAGAAAACTAATAGGCACCAAACTTTATATCTAATGTCACAATAATCACTTAATTTAATTTTGTTTCGTTATAATCACCTAACTTTATATTTAGCACCTATTTGAAGTCCATTTTTACTTTATTTTTAGAGGTTTTCGAACCGTTAATTTGTAGCAATAGTAAGACCCTCTGTCAATCAATGTGTTTTTAAGAATGTTCAATTTTAAGGGTATGAGTTGAAAAGTGTCCACTCATTTGAATTTAGTGTCAACTTGTCTATTATATCCTTAATAAAAAACTACATTTTTGAAATGATATTCTCGGTATTTTAAATGTCGTTCTCGACATTTGATTTTTTTTATCAATTTGTCATGAATTTTGAGAAGTGGCTTCCATGAGAAACTACATTAAATAATGTTTCTCGACATTTCATATGTCATTCTCGACATTTGAACATCGTTTCATTTGTCTAGAATGACATTTCATTTTGAACGTGGCATTTCTCTACATTTAAAAATGTCGTTCTCGACATTTCTGAATCAATGAAAAATATAGCATTTGTTGTGATTTGACATGTATACTTTTTGAAATAAATATGACAGGTTATGTGTCAATATTTTATTGGTCAATAACAATATTGCAAAAATGTCCATTTTTTGTGTTAGTGTGGAATTATAAATTGTTAATAAGGATATTTTAATCTTAATTCTTTTAAATTAGACATTTTTACAATGGTGCACATCTTTACAAATAACTAAATAAAAATGGACATTTTGTGAAATTTCCTCTAAAATAAATTTTCAAGAAAAAACTTTGACTTGCGAAAGTATGATGGCATAAGTATTTTCAATCTTCCCAAACTACCCTTCAAATGGTAAAGAACATGGGAGGGTGTAGGGTTAATAATAGAGAGGGTATTTTGATAAATACTTGATGACAAATTGGGTAATAAAGTCCACCTCATTTTCTACTGCTTCTGTACCCATAGTAAATGCTCTGACAATTGAAAAAGTAATAATGATTTTCAAATTATAGGTTTACTATTGTAAAATACAAATTCTCATTTTAATGGCCTTCAAATAGGATTTTAGCGTTACCATAATCATCCAATTTGATTTTATTTCATTATGATCACTCAATTTCTTATAACATTTCATCATGACTACCCAACTTATTTTTACTAATTTTAAAAGCAAAAAATTTAACGCGATGAAAAAATTTTAGGGAAAATTTCAGCCACAATACCAAACATTTTATTTATCAGCAGACTCTACCCAAACCTTTCATTTGTGCTACCGGAAGTATTAAATCTTTAAAAAAATCTCAGTCGGAGTCCAAATGGATGGAACCATCCGTTTGACCGTTAGTTGACCAGAATAATTAATTTTGACCAAATATAAAAGGGCAAAATGTTAACTTTACAATTTTAACGTAAGATGACTTTAAAAATATTCAATAAAAAAAAAGAGAAAAATGGCTACCAGTGTTCACCTCCTCCTTCACCAACCCACCCCAACCCCTTCAATTGGATTGTAGAATTTGACCGCAACCCAGATTTATCGTCTCCTTCTCCCTCGCCAACTGAATCCACCAGAATAGTTATGGTTTTGAGACCGGATAGCAGCCCAATTGACTAACGTATGATGTAGAATTAGAATTTCAAACCCATTCGGAGCAGCAAGCCTACTTCTCCTCCGAAGACCACCATGTTGACGCTAGAGAACCCACAGCTATTAATCCTGGGCATAGGTTAAGGACAGTTGATTTGAGTGAGGACACTTTGGTAATTGGGATTGATGAATTGAGGAAAAATCAGCTTTTGGAAGAGGAATTGGATAATGACTTTGTATTGAAGAAGAAAGGGGTTTCTAAGGAGGATATGGAATTGGAATGGGATGGTGAAACCATGCCTATTGGTGAAAACGGAGCCCGCTAAAGGAGGCAATAATGTGAACGATACCAATGTTATCAATATGAAAAAAGAAGAAATTGGCGAGAAACTAACCACTGTAATTTTTGGTGAAGATTCGATGGAGAAGATGTGCCAGGAAAATGTTGTAGTTGGGAAAAATGCTGATGTGCGAAAAATTGAAGAGACTTAAGGATTCACTAAAACTCATGTTTGATGCTATTGTTATAAACGGAGGGGGTAGGGGTGGGGTGGGTTGGGGAAGGTGGATGTGAACAGTGGTAGCCATTTTTTTCTTTTTTTCAAAGTTATCTGGGGCTGTTTGATATGGATTTTGAGAATTGATTTTTTAACCATTGAAGAGAAAGTGGGTCCTATCTGTGAGAGAAATGGTAAAAAATGACGACCTGAATAATGAAATAGCGATAAGAAAATTGATTTTTTGGAATGAAAAATCAATACCAAACACTCCCTTATGTTAAAATTGTAAAATTACTATTTTGCCCTTTTATATTTGATCATAATTAATTAATCTGGTCAACTAACGGTTAAACGGATGATTTTCATCAATTTGGACTCTAGCGGAAATTTTTTGAAGGTTTGGTACCTCCAGTGATATAAATGAAAGGTTTGGGAAAATTTTGCTAATAAATGAAAGGTTTGGTACTGTGGCTGCAATTTTCCCAAAATTATAGTTTAGCCCTTCTCTGCAAAATCCACCTAATCAATCGCCATAATTTTTCTCTCACCTTCGAGCTGTGACTTTTGGCTTCCCAAAAAGCCATGGGAGACTTGATCCGATCACTCTGAAACCACTGAAGAAGAAAAAAATTAGGAAAAATCTAAAAAATGTGGAAGTTAATTAATCGATCAGCTTCAAGTGAATATGAAGAGCAGCCGGAAGACGATTTATTGGGTGGAACTGAAGGCCTCTGTTCTCTTTCCCCTTTACAGGTGCAATAAGTACATCATCAATTAACCAAAGATTTTTAGTTTTTGTTCAAAACTTTAGCTTATTATGCATTTCTTTTTGGGGTTTTTTGCATGAGCAGAGATTGTATGGATTTGCTGCTTGTTTAGCAGCTGGGCTTGTTTGTGTGTTCCTGGTATGTAAATCCCAAATTTCGAATTTTCAGTTTCTTGAAAATTTATTACGTTATATTATTTACTGAGCATTCTGTGGAAATCTTGAATTCTTGAATGATTCCTACAGAGATGAAAACGAGCCAATTGATATTCCGGAAGTTATACGCCCTTCTTTCCCAGTACAATTTCTGTCAACGGCCCAAATTTTTAGAGCTGTGATTTGCTAAGCTTAAAAGTTTGCTTATAAGTAAATTCATGTTCTACAATGATTGATCTTACTGGTGAAACTTAGAAGTAAGTTAGGAAGCTTGGCCAGACGTGCTCTTAACATCGCAACTTTGTAGTCTCAGTGTGCTGAATTCCCTTGCTACTTTCTTATTTTTTTAACAAAACTTCAATTTATACAATCTCGAGAAAATAGAGGCTCTGTTATAGAATGGAGAACAAGAAAATATGCACTCAGTTATTTCTAAAAAGCAACATGGATGCATTCTGTGAAGTTATTAACCAACATTTACCTTCTTGGCTATTTTGCAGTCATTGATTGTTTTTGTCAAACCCATCAAATTTGCTCTCCTTTTTACCTTTGGCAATGTGCTGGCTATTGGAAGGTATGCTGTGATATAAACCGGCTAAGACGTGTCATTTTATCTTGCAATCTAGAATTGAGATTGATTCCTGAAAATCATATGCTATTATGGTTGTTTGGTAAGGTTTATTGTAAAATATTTGACAACATCAAAGTAGAAAGAATAAGCTCAACCTTCATTTTCTATATTTTCCAAGTCCTATCCAGTCTCCAATACCACATAACAAACATGCACTTTTCCAGGCCTTGCTTATATCTTGGAGAGTCAATGTTTTTATGGCTTCTATATACTCGATCCCATGGTCACCTTGAGCAAAAAGTGTACATAGATGGTTTACGGCTCAAGCGTTCAAGATCTAAAGTATTATGTTACCAACATGAGCCTTCACTATTAATATGAAATCAGATGGAAATAGTGACTACTATGTATTGCTTATATGCATCCATTTGAGCTGGAATTTTGTTCTTCCTATTCAGTTTTTGAGGTTCTGTTTTTTGATCCATTGGCAGCACAACCTTCCTCATTGGACCACAGCAACAGCTAAGAATGATGCTTGATCCTGTCCGTGTCTATGCTACAGCAATTTATGCGGGCTGTGTTGTGGTAGCTCTCATTTGTGCTCTTTTGGTAAGTCATGGCATTAACTGAATTTTAAGAAAAAGGTAAATACTTGATTCTGTTTGTGAGCTTAATCATACAAGGCTGACTGTATAGGAGACCAACCAGTGGCACAAATTGGCTATTTTTAAAGTCTTCTAATGGGAATTGTTGAAATGAAGTGAGCATGAAAGGGGAAAGGTTGTGAAGATATGATTCAAATTATTATCAAAATTATTTATTATATTTGAACTTCACCGAGCCGAGCTACATGGACCTAACTAATTTTTTGTTTGCTGGCCAATAGACCGTTCCTCTGTCAGCTTTTCAGATTAGTTATTGAATAATGAGGCAATAATGTATTAAAATGTACTTCAAAGTAAATTTGTGAAAAGAAATAAGAAACTGTTAAACCGTTCAGTAATGAAAGTCAATTCACTTCCGTTCTCTTCTCTTATTATTGTCCTTTCGAGCTTCATTATTGTGCTTAGAGGTTCCTTTCCTGCTAAACCCACTATTTTTTATCACTTCGTAGGACATTATGCACCCCCACCCAGAATCATGCATGAGCACACCATGGATATTTTGATCTGTCCCTCTATTTTTGTTTATATTGGTATTTTTTTAATTAGAATTCATTTGGTTTGCTTTCAGGTCCACAGTAAGATTCTAACAATAATTGCAATCATATGTGAGATATGTGCCCTTGTTTGGTGAGTTTGTCTTTTTATCACTTTCTTCCAGTATCCTTCAAGTGTGTTTCACTCCAGAATTTAACATCTACTGTTATTTCTAGTGAAATCTTGAAATATCCTTTTGACTAAATAAATGGTACTAGTCGAAAATGGGCACTTAATAAAATGGTAATTGGCCCTTAATTGGAATTTCCTTTGAGAAAATCTTATGTAGCTCTGCCATTTCTGTTCCTCTGGATGACAGAAATTCGAAAAATATGAGAATATGTAACTATGTCATTCTCGCTCAAAAAAAATTACTTCGATTGTTGGAGGGCGAAACTAACTGATGTAGGAGCATACTAATATAATCTAATTAAAATGAACATACTTTGAATTAAACTCTAATTTAAAATCCTATCTAAACTCTATATTTATTCTTATCTTTATCTCCATCACTAACATCATAGCCTTCATGCATTAAGACCTTGCCCATATTTAGAATCTTAGATTGACCCGTGTCTAACATCTTATGGCCACTAAATGACTTCTATTGCATCCCTGTCTTCATGTTTTTCCTCCAACATTGAATGCTCTCTCTCTCTCTGAAGGGATAATTTTCGATCAAACTCCTCCATCTCCCTCGTCACCATTTTTTTCATTTAACTTCAGGTTTGGCATGCTTTCTTTCTTCTTTTTTCCTTTTGTTTTGTTGGAGTTTATAACAGATAATTTCCGTGTCATTATTTCAGTTTTCTTCTAACAATATTCAAAAAGTAAATGTGGTCTGTTTTTCAGCAAATTATTGCTTGTCTTGAAATGATGTTTTCCTTGAAATCTAAGCCGAATGATATAATGACTTGAGGTTCAGTAGAATTGTTTTGTTGATGAGTGAGAGAGACATAAATAATAAATTGATTAGGAAATATTCGGAATCTATTATTACTAAATTGCTTTTGCAGTCGATGAAACCAAATATAAGGCTTGAAGTTATTTTTGTGGTTAAAATTAAAAAGTTCACTTGTAAGTAACTAAAGTAAGTTTTTAAAAATACTTCTTTAATTGAACAAAGTAGAAAGTAACTAATGCACATCCTCGGTGGAGATGTGGATGTAATTTTGCATGATTGCATCTCCCGATTAACGAAAGCATTTACTATACCACAGGAGTTTACATGTTCAGATAAGTTTAAAAAGTTTCCTTGTAAGTTTACTTTAAAGTAAATAAGTAATTTTTAATATAAATCAATTTTTGTTCAAAATGACTAATGAGTAAGTTGCTTATTTTGACAATAAAGTGAAGAATTACTTGGAAAATTAGTAATTTCTTATTTATTTTCAAGCTTAGCCAAAATTGGAAGTGGCATGTACCTTAAAGTTTTTGATTGCTAACTTTGATGAACTTGTTAAACCCTTAAAATTTTTGATGATATTGGCAGTATTTGATATCTATTTATTGCCTTGAATGAATTGCTCGTTCTTCCTTGATAAACATAGAATATACAATATAGTTGAGCAATTTAAACCATCTGTTCTTTAGTTTGAACTAACTTTTAAGATCATGTACCATTAATACGATCATTCTTCAACCATTTCAGGTACAGTTTAAGTTACATACCTTTCGCTCGCAGAGTGGTTTCTAATCTGACTATCCGTCTTTTTGACACCGAAATCTAGACGATCCAATGTGCATGTACTATTCCTGTCATTTTGTTGAAGAAATTTTTGAAGCATTTAGATTTGGTGGTGGTTTTTATCAAGCATTTTTTAAGATCGAATTTCTATTCATTCTTTTGTCGGCGTGTGAAGATATTGCTTAAATGAACTCGGAAAATGGCCGAAATTGTATTGTATTTGGATGCAGAGTTAGTAAATTCAATGCAGTCTTGCTGTTTGGTCTTTGCATCAGATTTGATGTTCTTCATGATCCCTCACTTATTATAAACTTGTGCACAGGAAGATTGCCTGTTCATTAAAGTCCTCGGATCAGAAACGACTATCAAAATCAATATTTTTCAGTTTATGATAGAATGAGGTTATTTTTCTCTGTCTATAGGTTGGTTGGTGAGATTCATTGCTAAGTTGGTTTTAAATTAGACCATCGCGTATTGTTTGGAACAGATGCGACGAAAAAGCATCATCTCGTGTGCATCTACGCATTCCATTCTTTATTATTATCGTACGGTAAATATTTCGCAAAATATGGACCGTGAGTCAAAATCATGTTTTTCTGGACTAGCTAGGCTTGACCCCTAAAAGTCCGACCCAAGGCACCGTGTCACATTTTGGCACCGTGTCACATTTCAGGTGTAGCCGGCATATTCAGGCGAGAGCCTTAAAAGTTAAAAGTTCAACCCTTGGCACAGCCCGGCCTGACGGTGTTATGTGTTGGCCCATCCCTTGAGCTGGTCGTATTATGTCGAGCGTTAAGGGCCCTAGGCCTGGCCTCGGCCTCTATTCTTCTGTAAAATAAAGTATTTCTGTAAACCAAAAGCCCAAGCCTATGAATCTGCAATGGCTGCACCCTTCTCCGAAACGACCATGCTACACTACTAGGTCTGTAAGAGGCCTGGTAGTGCAGCCCCTTTCACAGTTCGAGTTGGGGTGGGTGTTCGGGGGGTTTTTTTTAATCATGGAGCCCGTTGAGGTGAGAGAAAATGGTAGAGGGGCATTTTCCTCTCCGAAAAAGCCTTTAGATTTTTATTTTTTTTATTTAACAAAAAACACTTAACAATAAAACAAAGTAAATATAATAAAATATGTTCGGCACCGGCCTACTCTTGCTGTTGAATTGAAGGGCCAGTCTAATGAGGCCCATTAAGAAAAGTGGAATATGCCAGGCTGAGGGCTAGTCCTGTTCTATAATTTTGTTAGAGGAAAATACAAGCCAACAGGTATTTAAAGATCACAATTCATAAATCAGAGATGAGGTTTATTTATTCACAATTCACGTGCTGAATTAAAAATATACTAATATTATAATTAATCAACAATTCAACCTCACCCTCGACACCCACCCCATCCCCAATTTCAAATCCTAAATCTCTCCCTTTACTCTCCTCTCTGTTGGTTTTCTTCCTTCTCTCTATCGTCAGATCAATGGCGCAGTCGACGTGTAGTTTACTAAGAGAAACCTCACCCTAGACACGTACCCCATCCCCAAATTCAAAACCCCTCTCCCCTCCCCTTCCTTTCCGTTCATCGTCTCCCTTCTCTCTATCATCAGACTACTGGTGCAGTCGACGTGAAGTTTACTAAGAGAATCGATTGATGTTGGTGCTCCCTTATCCCTCCCTTCATACTCATAGGAAGCAATTGGATCTTTGTGTGCGATGTTGGTAATGGTACTGATTGGATCTCTACGAGCAGTGGCGATGAAGTGTTGATGTGATTTTTTTGGTCCGTTTTTGGTTGTTTTGGTCCTTGGTGATTGTTTTAGTTGTTGGATTGTTTGTGGTGGTAATGGTAGTGTAATAGTGGTGGTTGGTGGTGGAGCTGGTTGGAGATATGGTAGTAGTGATTGTCGTGGACTTTGTTGGCAGTGGATTGGATGTGGTGGCGGCAGTTTTGTTGGTTGTGGTGTTGGTGGTGGTGGTGGTGGTGGTGCTGTTGTGGTGCCTGTAACGGTGGTCGTGGTGGCGGCGACGATGGTGGTGGTGATGGTGATGGTGATGATCCACTATTTCATGTATATAACCAACTATTTGATTACATGTGACCAACTATTTAATTGGGATTTAAAAATTCGATAATTTTTTACTAAGTAATTTGAAAATTTGTGATCGATAAATAATTGTGATCTATAAATTTTTTGATTTGTAACCAATGACATAATCCGTGATCAATTAATTTGATAATATGTGACACTGTGAACTATAAGTACACACATGTGACCATTAATTGTATAATTCTGACCTTAATACATTTAATTAATAAAATATTTTTGATTAATTAATTAATACTTGAGTTTTAATTTTGAAACTTAAAATCTGAAAATTGAATTGGTCATAGTTAATGCTTGACTTGTGAATTTTTCCCATTTGTTATCTTTTTGTCCATTAATTTAGGAAGAATTTCTGTTTCTAAGATTTTAGAATAACTATTTATGATTGATCGATTGGTCGAGAAGCTCTAAAAAAAGGATTATGCCATTTTATCATAAGGATTTTGATAGATTCAATGACAGAAGTATAGATGACAGCAAATAATTGATGTTTTAAATAATTCAGTGATAAAATATCATGTGACATTATAATAATCTTTATGTCGGCGTATCCACATTGTAGCACAATTGAGGAAGAAATGTACCTACCACCCCACGTCCTCAAGCTTGAACTGATCGGTTGGTCCAGAAGCTTCATAGAAATTTCTCTCTCTCATGCCCGACCTACGGTCCCACGAACCTATTAAAGGGTGAAGGAAAATCTATGGCTAACACGAGAAACACGTGGTGGTGTGCAACTTAGTGGTGGGTGGCCAGGGTGGGTGGTACCCACGTCTTGGCATCAATAATCAAGATCTCAACAACCAAAGTTGGTAAGTCTGTATAGCTATCATATCTGCTATGGCCCACATGACAAAGGACCAAGATTTTCCCAATTCTCTGGAAAGTTGGATACTTTGCAATGGCAATTCCTTCGTTATCTTACGAATATTGTTCCTCTGGGATTGTCTTTTCCATGGTATTAACCTTCTTCCCTTCAAGTTCCCATGATTTTTACTCTCTGAGCTTCCCTTTCATCAATTCATGATAAAATATCATGTGACATTATAATAATCTTTATGTCGGCGTATCCACATTGTAGCACAATTGAGGAAGAAATGTACCTACCACCCCACGTCCTCAAGCTTGAACTGATCGGTTGGTCCAGAAGCTTTATAGAAATTTCTCTCTCTCATGCCCGACCTACGGTCCCACGAACCTATTAAAGGGTGAAGGAAAATCTATGGCTAACACGAGAAACACGTGGTGGTGTGCAACTTAGTGGTGGGTGGTACCCACGTCTTGGCATCAATAATCAAGATCTCAACAACCAAAGTTGGTAAGTCTGTATAGCTATCATATCTGCTATGGCCCACATGACAAAGGACCAAGATTTTCCCAATTTTCTGGAAAGTTGGATACTTTGCAATGGCAATTCCTTCGTTATCTTACGAATATTGTTCCTGTGGGATTGTCTTTTCCATGGTATTAACCTTCTTCCCTTCAAGTTCCCATGATTTTTACTCTCTGAGCTTCCCTTTCATCAATTCTCACCCATTTTTTTCAATTCGAGAGATTGATTTATGATTTATCGTTCATTGAGGTTAATATCTATCCATTTAGATTACGAGCTTAAAAAATATGAGTCATTCATAGTATTACTATATCTTCCCTATTTGTTAGTAGCGATTTAGATTACTTTGTATTTTGGAAGCAAGATTTGCTTTATATATCCACTATCAAATGGGAGCTACAAGCAAATAAAACACATTTCGCAAGTATAAATACTCTAACATGCATAAAATATACATTGATGTGATTCCACAGGGTAAGATCCGTGGAGGCCCTTAAGGTTGGGGTTCAACCTTTTTTTTACATTGATGTGATTCCAATTCTGGGTTAGTAAACTTTCAGCAGGTTGAATCGGATTAACATGGGTATGTATTAAGCCCTATCTGATTCTCACTATTTCAAAATTCATTTTTTTTTTCCTAAACTCACATTCAATTATATTCTCGTAAGAAAATAATTTACAAGTAAATCTAATTTATTTATTTATTTATTTTTACATTTTAATCACACGTTCTTCAAAAATTCACTATTACAAAACTCATTTCGATGAAATAATGAGCATCAAAAGCGGGCTAAATAAAAAATATATATTTAAAATTTTATTCTTCGTAATGTTTGATATTGCATTTTACATTGTTGCATTTTCATGTTAAAGAGATAAATAGAACTAAAAAGTCCAGTTGACAATAAAAACTTGCAACGAAATGGGACCCTTCGTAGGTTTTGGGTGGGATTAGTCTTTTTTTTTTATTAAACAATTATCATTATTTTATTAATTATACAAAGTTTCTATAAGATTAGTAAAAAGAAATTTTTTTATCAGAGGTACGAGGGTCACGTGTTTTGACTAAAGCCAAGTTGGCGAAAGTAATATTTATTTATTTTTCATTTAGTCACAAGAGAAACTATTATTTTTGTTAGTGCATTTACCATTCCTAACTTTTGTAGGTAGCATGTGGGGGTAGGTAAGAGGCATTTTACATTGTGATGATTAGCGTGTTCTTGGCAGCTCATTTTTCATCTTATTTCTGAAGTTAAAAGACATGTTAATATGAGGATGTTTGACTAAATTTAAAAGAATTATTCGTAAGTATTTTTTTTAATATGGGTCGTGGATTGCCTATGTGGGGGGACCCTACCCACAACACATTAAAAGGATTGGAGTGAGTAATTTGAATTTGAAATTCAAACCTATATCTCCCTAAAATCACCCTAAAAATACTTATTGCCTAGAAGAAGATAGTGAAAGATGGCAAGAAAATATGGTGAAATTCGAATTTGAAAAATACACCAAACTTGGAAAGGGCCAAACATCACTATTTTGGCATGAAAACCCACAAAATAAGGCACTCAAATTGTAGATAATAATTTCCTTCCATCGTGATATGGATTAAGATCATTGGAGAACAAGAAAATGCAGAATTTGATGCTTAAAAAGCAAGGTAATTCAACCATTCAAAAGATCTTGGAATTACCAATTCTAGTAAGAATTTATTACCCAAAATTTATGATTATGTGTGCTGCAGATTATTACATTGGTATCAAAGCCTTAAGGTTAAATTCATTGTAATATTTAATGCTCAAATATGTCATTAAATTGTTCAATTGAGTTATGAATTTTATATATAAAGTT